GGGAATGAAGAAAATCAATCCCTTTCCAGGGAGACACTTCCTTCAGTCAATGATGCAACAATTACTCAAATGGTACCTCGATGACAGAGTAGGCATCAGGAAAGGGAATCATGTTTAGGAGAGAAAATGTGGTTATTAACTGGTTCCCCTTTTTGTTTTGGCTGTGTACTTTCTTGCACAGAGAAACAGAAGTTTTCTGCTTCTGCAAAATCTGAACAAGACAAGCTTGCACCACTACTATTTATGTTGCTAATATGGGAATTGGCTATTTGACTGGTATTAGGAGATATAGAAAGGATATTTACCTTTTAGAGTGAGGTATATAGAAACTAAGGAGAACAGAGGAAACTATGTCAAAATTTTTATACTTTGTGCTGAGGAGTAGTTTTTGGGTTGCACAATGTAAATCATTATAATTCAGTTTTTGTATGAGGGTTAGAATACTCCTTATGCTCCCTAAAATATATATAACATCCTTTTTCTGTTCAAAAAATAAATGAAAAGTAAGGATAGTCACTTAGATTGGGTACCCTGAGAACTGGTATTTGTAAATAAGATCTGTTATGGTTATTGCTCTGTCTATTTCTGCTCTGTTGAACAGGTGTGTTCATCTTTCTTGTACTGGATAAAGTTGAATGTGAATCACAAAATAGAGGGCCTTTATGCAGGAGCTAAAGGCTTCATACTTTCATGGTCAGGTGAACTGCTATTTCAGATCTTTTCAGCAAATTCCTCTTATAAGGCCTCACCACACCAATTGCAGAATTGTTTCATTGCTGGTCCAACAAACATCATGATTGGCCCTGTGAAAATGGCCTGGTTAAGCTTATTAATTTTCTTGTTACTAATGTTTGACTTCATAAGGATCAATCACAGCTGTTCTCACAATGCTTGCTAGCGGTTTCTTATTTTGCCCCCTCAAAGCTCCATCGCCTTCTAGGGAGTCCAAGTTAAAAATGGTTCCCAGTGTTGTTGGGAACCAAGAACGGTAAGTAACGGCAAACTCATTGTCCTTCAACTTTGAGCCTTTTTTGTGTATTCATAATTGTTAAGAAGAATTGTTGTACAGTCTGAAATATACAACAGAATCAATTTGATGAGGGGGTAGCCCCTGTAAAATTAGAAACCCTCCTAATTTAATAATTTTTATTTTACAATTTGATACAGTTTGAATTACAAAACAGATAATCTGATTTCCTTTATATTTATAGAATGTTGGTATGTTTAATGGAATTCAGAGTTGAGGCCATGATGGTGATGGTTGCAGGGAGAGAGTGGTGTTCGTAGCTGTAGTGGTTACATACAATGTTACTTATAGCTGCTGTTTTCGATTTTTCAACTATCCTAACCAGTGAAGATTGACCGTATACCAACATGGTGTTCATTGCTTGCTATATGCAGGATTTTTAGGTGATATTTGTTACCGTCAAAATTTTTACTTAGCTAGTCACACTTAACAAGTTGTTAATTTAAATGAAAAGAATTTAGTTATTTTTAAATAAAATTTTGAATTTGAAGTCTTATAAATAAAAAAATGAATGTTATAAAGGTTTTTCTCTTACAACTCTCACATTATTTGATTTTAAATTAATTAAAATTTAATACAATTTTTAAATAAAAGGGTTAATAAAAAAAAGGGGGGGAGGAACTTAGCTAACCACATTCTGACATTTTATGTAACATACATTGATTTATTTGACAAATGTAATTCAAATTCAAGATTATATATTATGTAATTCAAATTCAAAATATTTTATTTTTATCAGAAGGAAATTATTATTGAGTTATTTAGGTTGTTGGTTTTTTTTTTTTGAAAAAAAAAAGTTATTGTTTTTATCTTTTGGTGCAATGACGATAACAATATAATAAAAAAATAAATTTTTTACTTATTTTAAAATTTAAATTAAAAATTTTTAATACAAAAATTTAAATTCTTAACTATTATGTTGTGCAATAGAGAAGCTACCGTCCTACATGCTCTTAATCATCTTAAAAACTGCCTTGTTCTGCTGTCCACACAGATAAGGTTGGCATCATGCAAGAATCTCTGCTTTTAAATTGGGTCAGTGACGTGGGAAGACTTCCAATTTCAATTTTCAAGTTTCAGCTCTTTGGGTAAACAATTTTGAAACGAAATGCTGATTTTGAAGCCAAGCCAACGACTAAATACGTCTCTTGTCTTGGTCAATTTTGAAACTGCAAAACAGTTTTTATTTTATTTATTTTATTTTTTTATCATGTATTTTTAGGACATAAGATAAAGGTGAATAAATATATCTTTATATAATTAATTTTTATTAAAAATATAAATATTGATTTCGATTTAATCAATCAATTAATTAAAATTATTTATATATCAATGATATTAAAATATGTATTAATTTTTATATTTTTTAATATAAATTAATTATAAAAAATATATTTATTACATTTTTCATCTATACCCTTAAAATATAGATTAAACAAATTCTCCTTTTTTTCCCACCAAAACAACAAAATTAACTTTAATGCAAAAAGTCTTTTTGTGACTGCTGGATGGCCGAAGTGTATTTCATTTCATTTCCAATTAACCTGGCATATGTCAAGATTTTCATGCTACGTCAACATCTTGACATAAAAATAAAAATAATAATGATAAATAGGATGAAAATTTGAAATTAATAATATAGTATAAGTTACATTATTTAAGATATTAAAAAATAAATTTTATATTATTTAATAATAAATTTTTTATTTTTAATTTATAATATTATATATATCAATTAATTTAATAATATAACATATATTATATCATTAATTTTATTTTTTTTTAATTTTCATTATTTGTATCATTATTATTATTGATAAAAGGTATAATTGGATTAATAATTGAAAAGCAATTACAGTTCAAAGTATACCATACCATATAGGCTATTCAAAAGAGATAAATAAATTAGGTAAGACCTATAATACTAATATAGAGAGTTTGGTACTCTATACAAATAGAAATAATTAACAATTGAAAAACTCTAAATATTAGTATATGTTATAGGGGCATTAATAGAGCTATGTATAACATAAAAAGGCCACATTGGAGTTTACTATCATTACTAGTAATCACATCTATTTTATTATCCAAACATAGCACGGGAGATTAGGTGACTTGGCGATGTGGTGTCTCCTAACACCACAATGCTCCGTCCAAATAGAAAATGCCTAGCTTGTTTCATGTTCAAGTGGTCGGCAAAGCCAAAACCAGTGCAAGAACATACACTTCCTTAGAAGACTAACATCATTAGAACCAAAGTCACCCATAGCATCCATGTCTTTTGTATTCGATTACTGGATCGAAAATTGGAGTGCTCTAAGTTCTCTAATGTAGATCGAAGGATGTTGTTGCTTTGTCGAAAATTGGAGTGCACCAGGTTCTTTGAATGCAACCCTCGCTAAGATCTCATCTAAAATTGAAGGTATGTCAAAGCAAGATTCTGATCTGGTGAATAAAAGAAAACCAAACCTGCCAACGAGATCATGTCCCTCGATATTCAATCACAACCTTCAAAAATTAACAGTAGATATAGATCAAAAGATGCCGCTGCCTTGTGGTCCCTAAGGCTGAAGTTTCCAAAGCAAGACAGTCTATGAAGAGGAAGGAAGAAATCAAGAAATCAAGAGGAGGAAGGGAAAGGAAGAAGACAATAAAGAAGGAAAAAACTCTTTGTCGGAGAAAAACCCATAGCCGTCGCCCTCAACCCTAAGCAAAGCACAAGAGAAAAAAACCCTAGATGCATGCAAAATTCTTAAAACCATTATTTGTATCATTATTCAAATAAGAAATCATTCTTATAAACAAAATTTATAAGTAATATTCGTGCCTGCCATATTTGGCAGTCTGCGCGTTGCCAAGTATCCAAAGGGAATTCCATCTAACCAGGATACTACGTCAATCATCTCGTCGAATAATGTATCAATAAATCAGTAATTACCACTTACAGTAATTTATGAGAATTAAATTTTACAATTTAAAATATATTGAATTATAAAGTTAAAAATATAATTAATAACACTTGGATCTTGGGATTCAGTGACGTCGAGTTACATTTAAAGTGCATCTCCCTCTTTCAGATAACAATTTGAATCCGATTCTTTATAAATTTGTTAAAAAAAAAAGATACAATTAATAAAATTATTATTATTAATTAATATTAAAAATAACAAACTTAATATTAATTTAATTATGAATATCACATAAATTATTTTAACTAAAAAATTAAATAACTGTTAATTTTCAGGGAAAAAATTAGTTTTTATTTTTTAGTAATAATTAATATTAAAAAAATCACTAACTTGTACCCTGACACAAGTTAAAAAACCTTATAGCTGCACAGAAAGAGGATCAAATAATTGGGCTTGTCA